TAATATTTAAAAAAAAAGGAAAATGAAAAAAGGCAGAATAGGAAAAGGTGTGAGGGACACACAGATACACGTTGCTAAAAATCTACGATGGTTTGTCCTAACAAAAATAATATTTTTTTCCTCTTCATTATCATCATGGATCCATTTATTATCGGGGCTTGGGTGGAGAAAATTTAACTGGAGCCAGAAATGGAGGCTGTAATCCCAAGAAGAGTGGGGTTAGAAAATGTGACCACAGGGAGCCCTGGACCTCATTCTGGTGTGACTGGAGGCAGCCAACTCTCCTGGGTCACTATTGCTAGCAAGACTGTGTCAGAGTTTGATTGTATTGGCAACTTGGCTGCTCTCTCCCCAGAGTCAGGGGTACTCCCAGGAGACAGCATCTAAAAATCTCCAGATGAGAAGAGAAGAACCCATTGGCCCACCAACACTTGCAAAGGCCAGTGGCTGGGGACAGCAAAAAGCCAGGATTACGGGACAGGAGACTGGTAGGAATGAGTGACAGACAGCTCTATGCAAACGGAGTTATTATCATTACTGTTATTATTTTTAAGGGCAAGCTTGTACCAGAATCGCCCAGTATGGCCTGTGACTTTTGCGCAGCAATTATTCCTCCAGGGACAGGGCCTGGAGCTCCCTCACAGTGATGCAAGAAAATGTGATGCCCCCCCCGCCCACCCCATTCTGAAACCTCCTGAGCCACACATCCTTCCATCCTCTCCAGAAGCCCAGAGGTGGAGTGTCAGGACCCAGCTGTAAAGTGAGGCCAATGCCTTTCAGAAACCAGGCTGGCCTCCAGGAAAGGAGCACCAGTGGTAAGGGGAAGGCCAGGAGAAGGGGATGGGATATTTAAATGCTAATTTTATAGCCTCTTCACAAAAATAAATGCCTTTCCAATTACATCGCTTGGCCTGTGCACTTCAGTGTTCTATTATCACCTCCTTACTGGTCCCACCAGGGTCAGAAGCTTCACTAATGCCTTTCAAGTGATTCCCCGCCATGCAGAAGGGCCTGAAGAGGCACAGAGTGGGTGACCTGGCTCATGGCACACAGCACTAAGCTGGCAGAGAAGCCCAGGGTTTCTGAGGCCTGAGCGCTTCACATACAGCAGTGGGGACAGAATCACCCTCTCAGCAAAGAGTGAGGAAGTGATGTCACTGAGCCAGTTCAGCACAGCTGGGGTAGGTCTTGTCTTTAACACGGCTTTCTCCAAACCCGAGTGGCCCGTGTACAACGGCAGTGCACATGAGCCAAATACACTGAGACACCATCTGATTCCATCTGAGAAAGCCCAGGACGTGTGGCTCCAGCCAGACAGCCACCCATTTAATGAGAGGGTACCAGGGCAAAAGAGACTCCAGGGCAGTGTGCTCCATCCTGTCAAGCAGAAAAGGCTGCCCTCAAAATTCCCGGAAAAGCAGCACCTGGACAAGGAGAGGGCGCAGTGCTTGGAGACGAGAAGGGTTGGGGTGAGATCAGACTAACCTCTGCCATCCCAAGCAGGCGAGGCATCTGTGTAAGCACAGCGCTGCTTTCCTTTCTGACTTACGTTGGACTTCGCTTCATGCAAATATTGTGCCTAGACTTTGGTGGGGGATCCCGGATTTAGGATGCAAGCCGAACCCTCCACAAGGAGACGGTGGGCCACCCAGCATCACAAGGACCTCTTCAAGATGCAGAACTGGTGGACTCCCTCCTCACTACCACTTGCCCTTCTGAACTTCTCCAGGACAGGTCAGCTGTTCTCACACCTTGCCCTCTAGCTCAAGACGCCTTAGCCTGAAGGCTTCCCCTTACTCTGAGACCAGCTTTCTGGGCCATGGGCGTGCTCCAGAGGACTGGGGCAGAGTGTGGCTGCTTTCATTTCTCCCCAGAGGTTACCTGGAACCTGGGGGCACAGTGAAGGAAAGTCACCATGCCCTGCCTTGGCCAGAGACACCTTTACAAACCTGTCAGGCTTCTGACTGGGGAGCAGCACAATGTCCGAAGGATAATCCCACATCAATTTCACCGAAGTTTAGGATATTCTTTTTGCTTCTGTTTGAGATCAAGGGGTTTTTAGTGGAAACTCATTCACAACACTTCTGACAAGAGGATGAAGTCCACAGTGAAAGCTTCTTTCAAGACAAGAACCTTTCAACTTCCCCCCACCCATCCACCTGCTGTTACCAAATCCCTGCCAGGAATGGCAGGCCCCTCCACCTCACCAAATGAAAATATGCAAGAGTGGGACAATCTGAGGTTTGTACAATTCTCCCTTCTCATCTTAAAGACTAGAAAATAGTGGGCAATGAACCTAGAGTTTAGGCCAAGGTCACTCAGTAAACGGAAGCTTCAGAACTGGGTCCCACATCTCCAGATGCCTCGCTCTTCCCACCAACACTAGAATGTCGAAGGCAGTCAGGATCACCAAAGTGACCACATCAAGGGCCGAGGCACCATGCTGGAGGATTCTAGCCTTAGGTAAAAACCGTCCAAGCTCAAGGGCATCTACCACGTCCCAGAAAGTCAATTCCACTGGCTTAACAGGTTGGTCCCCACTCAGATTCTGATCAACCCAGAGTAAAAAGTGCACAGGGCAGAGACAGTCTTGAACGCTGACATCTCCCTGTGCCTTGCACGGTGCTCACTTGATACCCAGGTAATGCGTTAAGGAACAGAGAACAGGGAAATAACTATCTGGCTTCTGAAACCCATGGTCCCTGCAGTGTCAGCTGGGTTACCAGTGACCTCAGGGCCTCCTCCCCTCCACCAACAGAGTGTACCCAGGACTAAAACCAAAAAGGAGGAAACGAAAGAACGCGGCCAAACCCCAAACAAAAGTCAGTTGGAATGTTCCTGTTTAAAAAGCCACCATCTTTAGATTTTAACTGTTTAGATTACCCCATGGCTTCTGTGAAAATCATCAAAATATGCCTGAATTTGCACAGGAATCTGCATCCTTATTAGACCTTATGTCACCAAACTCACAGAAAAGGACTGTGCAGGAAGGAGTCAGCTTCCAGGGGTAAGGATGGAATAACTGCGAAACTATATGAGGCCTCTGAAAGGGCCCGTTTATGGGACTTGCCCCTGCTGAAGTGGAGGAGGATGCAGATGCCGCCTGAGAGGCCAGAACTGGAGCTACAGGGTATGCGCTGTCCTTACTGCCAGAGGATGGCGAGGAATGTCACCCCACAGACCCATCTGCAAAGGTGGCGATGGCCCGTGGCTGATGAGCATGTAACTCATTAAAGCGAACATGACTAATGAATGGTGACCACGAGAAAGGGCAAAACGCATTCTGGGAATTGCAACAGAGGACCCTCCCGTTAGGGCTGAGCTAAGGAGAGAGCAGACCAGGCTTCTTGGGAAGGGAAGGCCGGGGCAGACGAGGGAGTTCTCTTTGGAGCGCCCGTTCTCTTTGGTCAGGAGGTGGCGGCTGAGCATGTGGAATGCGTATGTGGGCGTGCGTGCAGGTGTGTGTATGGAGGTGAGGGTGGGCGTGGGAGGCCTCATGGGCCGCGGCTGCCTGCAGTGCCTTTCCGTGTGACCTTACTGGGTCAGCCCTTTCTCTTACTAGGTCCCCTCGCCCGTCTGTCGCCTAAACTCTGCAACGCTCGGCAGTGAGTTTGCGCTGACAGTACCGGACCCCTAGCCACCCACACAGGGCCGGTCAATCGAAGCCGGACACTCAAGGCACTGAAAGCGGAAGAAGCAATCTGATTGGTCCGGGGGGGTGGGGCGCGGGGAAGATAGGTAACAAACGAAAACCCGTCTAAAGAGAACATCTCCCACAGATGTCCCCCAGAAGGTGGCCTCTCTAACCAGCTGGTCAGCTCTGGGGTAGGACAGCAGAGCCTGACAGTCAGGCCCCCTTCCGGTCCTATAGAGCCCATCGGGTGACAGGTCTCACCACCTGAATGTTTAAAAATGGATTCAAAGTGCTTCGAGATTGAAAGAGTAATGGAAGGTACTGGAAATCTGATAGAGAACAGGTTCCCCCTTTCCTTTTCACTGGGACTTGTATTTGGGTGGGGAGCTCCCTACAGCTTCTTTTTATTTTTTTTTCCCCAAGTGAGGTTTTTTCAAAAAATTATTTTTTGTTGTCTTTGAAGAATAGCCAATAGCACCCCCACTTTCACCAACACTCCCCAGGCAGGCTCATTAGAGCCAGGAAGTGGGGCCTGCTGGGGAGGAGAGGGGGCTTGGATGGGCTCCCTCTAGCGTGGGTTCCGGAAACTGCTAGGTAGCGCTCTGCGGTCTTGCTGGTGACTCAGAACGTGGTTCCTGACCTTTCCTTCTCCATCACGACCCCCTGACCTACCGGCTGGCGCAGCACAGAGGAGGAGGAGGAGGAAAGGGCAGCGCTAGGGGAGATACCTGGATCCCTCTGCACGCAGAGAGACAGGTGTCCACAGTGGGCAGCCAAGATGACTGGGCATTTTAATCCCAGCTGAGCTGGATCTGAACTCGGTGCCAGGGCTAAAAAAACAAATCCAAGGTCCCTTCTGCAGTCCCGAGGAGGGAGAGACGCACCCAAGGTATGACGCGGACAACAGATGGGACGGGCCAGGCAACCTATCTGTACCAGAGCCACCCACCCCGACACTCGGTGTCCCCTGGGCCAAAGCTTGCTCCTGCCCACGGGACCCCCCGCCTTGTCCGCTCACGTGAGACCAGAGGGGCGGCATAGAAAGGGAATGCTAAAAAGTGGCCCCTCTGCTCTCCACAACCTTCACTTTCCCAGTCCCCAGACTAGGGCCAGGCAAGAGTGCAGGTCAGAAGAGACACATCCTCCCGAAGAAGAGGGAAGGGCAGGCCCAGGAGGCTGGGGCATGCGCAGAGCACCATCCTCGGGACGGGGTGTTTCCGGGAGACCTGCTCCCTGCCTGCCGCGGTGGGAGGAGGAAGGCTGGTCCAGGACGGGAGCAACAACGGGCAATGTCCCTGAATATCAGGGAACAGCTGTGAGAGCCTTCTCCTCTGCCCCGCAGAGACGCCCCGGCCAGGCGCCGGCCCTACACATGCGTCTGCATGCGCTGCTGGAATCTCTGGCCGTAGTCCGAGTGCTGGGAGGTGTAGGAGAATCGCGTGGCGGTGGCGTACTTGCCAATGGGGTCGTATGCCTCGTACGGGGTCCGCTCCAGGCCGGACGGTGGGGCCTGGGGGTAGCCCAGTCGGTAGGTGGGGTACCCGGCTGCCCCGGGGAAGGGGTGGGAATTGAACTTCTCATAGTTCTCGTAGGACAGCTGGCTGGCGGTGTCGTTGCCAGCGGGGGCAGCAGGACCAGGGGGCGTGGGCTCGGGGCCGTAGTCGGGGGCCGGGGCCCGGCTGTAGGTGTTGAGCTGGGCGTAGCCGCTGGAGTGGGAGAGGCGGGACGAGGGGCGGCCGTCGAAGCGGGCAGGGCCGGGGGCACGGTAGTCAGCATAGAGCACTGCCCTGGAAGACGGGCGGTCTTCGTGGGCACGCACGTTGTAGTAGCCATTGGTGGGGTCCTGGGTGGCAATGAGAGAGGAGGATGAGAAGGTGGGTCCATCTTGGGGAGGGGTGTGGAGTCTCATCGAGGCTCTCTGGGCCTCCTTCTCTGGCTCTGCCTGGGTTCTCAGCCAATAACTCTTCATCTCCTCTGTTCGCTCAGTAATCTCCTGACCCTGCCTCCGCACACCTGCCCTCACCTCCACTCTGCCCACCCCTGGAGCCCGCGATCCATGCCCTGCGCCCCTCCAGGGGACCCTTGTGCGCTGGCCATTCCCCGATCCGCACCTTCATCTCATACTCCTCCCGCGTGTCGATGGTGTCACAGCGCAGATCCTGCTTTAGGTCCACGTCATCCTTGAAGGACTGCGGAGGAGCAGAAGCTGGGCATCAGGAGACGGACGCCTGCTCTCGCCCGCCCTGCCCACCCCATCCCCACACCGAGGCCGCCTGTTAAGAGGAAGGGTCTGGGTCAGGGGCAGACTTGAACCCTGCGTCTTCTCCCCTCAGAGACTCTGGAGTATAGTGGGAAGAGGCCAGAGATACGGTTCTAGCACCAATTCTGTGATCATGCGCAGTGCTTGTGTTATATCCCTGCCCCTCTCTGCGGCTGTTCTTCATCTGAGCACTGAGGCAGCTGGGCCAGAGAACTTCCAGTTGGGTCAAAAAACTTGACACGCTGTTGCGGGGAGAATGGGGTGAAGGAAGCCTGTGTAGGTCCCACCCGCCTGTCCTCAAGAAAATTAGCCTGAGGAGCGTGCGCATGTTTATGGGTCTGTATGTATGAGAGTTAGTGTGGGGTGGAGGGGACGGGACCAAAGTAGGTCAACTGAGGGGGCAGGGAGTGACAGCTTTAGTGACCTGGGGTGGGGCTGGCCCCAAGAGTGTGAAGAAGAGGGTAAGACGGGGGCAGGGCGGGGAGCGGACGCTCACCGAGTAGATGGCCTTCATGACACGGGTCGCCGTGGAGACGCTGGCAGTGTCGTCCTCCCGGTCAGAATGCATCGTGAGCGGCTCCCGGTTCACGGTCTCCACTTTGATGTCCAGCTTCCTCAGGGTCACGTCTTTGCGACCTGGGGACAAGGGCCGCCGCCTGGACCTACCTGGCCTGGAGCGCGCAGCTGCCAAGCCCTCCTCGCCCCTCCCCAGCCCTGCCTGTCAGAGGCCCTCGGGAGGGCCGCGGCCCCAGCAGGGCCCATACTCACTGCCTTTGCGGCGCCGGTAGAGGAAGAACACCAAGGCGATGAAGAAGAAGATGAGCAGGATGCCCGCGCCAATGGTGGCCCCGGCGATGATGCCCACCGGTAGCACCTCTTCAGATGCGGGAAGGGAAGGAAAGGAGGAGGGTGAGGATGCGGTCACACGGGGATCTGAGCTCAGTGATGGCTGAAGCTCAGAGCAGCCGAGCTCCAGGCCCCCTGGACTTTGCACAGGGTTACGTTTCAGCTGAGGTCAGTTAAAGTCAAGGTGGGATTTGAGAGGAGGTCTGCACTGTGTCTGGATTTAGACCTTCACTTCATCAGAGTTGGGATCGACTTGTCCCTGGCCGTGGTGGTCTGTCTGTCCCTCTCTTGCAGCCCACCTGCCTGGGAGACTTGTCCCTCCTTCCTGGGCTGGGGTCTTGTCTGAGGTTGGCTGTCCCCAAACTTTCCCACTGCCACCTGTGTTTCCACCTGTTCCACTGCCTTCCTCATCCACACCATTGTGACTGCTCCATCTGCACCTGTCTTCCCAGGGCTCAGGCAGTTCTGGTTGGATCCCCCTGCTCCTTGGAGATGAGAAGGACCCAGGAATCCTGCCTCCAGTTTTCTCTCCCTTCCTGTCTGTCCTGGATGGATCAGGTCCATGTAGGGCTCTTCCCTTTCAGAAGTGTTTCCTGCAGAGTCCTCCTCATTCTGTCTCCTCTGTTCTTGCCCACCAACTCCTTGCTCTTGCTGGTGCCCTTAGCTAACTAAGACAGACCTCCTCCCCCGCTCCGCCTCCCCCCCAGTTATTTCTCCCCATCTCTCACATCAAATAGCTAGTTCTTACTTAAAAAAAAAAAAACCTCTTTTCCTCATCAGAGTTGGGAGCTTCCAAGAAACTCAAAAGCATTATGTCTCTTTTATCAGGCTAGAAATGCCTTAAGGGAGAGAATATGTGTCTCCTATCAGACTAAGGATTTATGAAAAGGTGCATGTGTGTGTGTGTGTGTGCACTCAGTCATGTCTGACTCTTGCAACCCCATGGGCTATAGCCTGCCAGGTTCTTCTGTCCGTGGAATTTTCCAGGCAAAATACTGGAGTGGGTTACCATTTCTTTCTCCAGGGGATCTGCCCAATGCAAGGATCAAACCTGCGTCTCCTGCACTGGCAGGCAGATTCTTTACCACTAGCGCCTCCTGGGAAGAGGTGGGGAAACCAAAGCTTCCTATTCTATTCCAAGTACTCCATGAATATCCTCTCATTTAATCCTCATACCAACCCAGTGAAGTATGGAGTATTAGTGCCTTTACAGATCATTTTATTTTTCTGCATCTGAAGTCATTTCCTGCCACTCTCTAGGTCCTCCACTAAACTGAAGGTTCCCAGATGGCAAGGACAGTGTTCATTTACATCTGTCCCTGCAGTTCCTAGTGCGGGGCTTGGCACATAGCAAATGCTCAATGAATGTTTAAAACAGTGAGTGGTTTCCCAGCTGAGCACCGAGATCAGGCTGGGGTGGGCAGGCCCGGGAGAGAGCAGTGTCTCTGAGCCATGCCCCTGGAGAGAAGAGGGAGCGGACTCCCCAGGCTGCCCTGTGCCCTGGCAACACTGCCAACTGCGGTTACCTCGCTCTTCCAGCTGGATGATGGCCGTGCCCGGCCCAAAGCTGTTCCAGGCGGTACAGTTGTAGTGGGTCTGAAAGTCGGCCTCCATAACGTTGTTGATGGTGAGCGTGGACAGGACCCCACTGCCCGAGTTGGTCCTCTCCACCGTGTAGCGTTCCAGGGTCCCCACCTCCAGGAAGTTCTCCTTCCATGCCCAGGCCTGGGGTGGGGAGGGCAGGATGGGATGAGGAGGTGGTGGAAACACCTGACCCACCACAAGGCAGACTCATATCTTCACCCCGTGTGCCCTCCAGCCCAGACCCACACTCACCCTAAATAAGCCCAAGCCACACCTGCTGCCTCCAACCCTGGCATCAAACCTCCAGTCTAGGAGGAGTAGCGGCTCCCAAACGTGCTCAAGACACATGCTGTGACCATTCAGATAAGCATAGGGACACTCTTTAACATGAGGATTGCTGGGGCTTAGCTCCTAAATATGACTCTCTAGGGCACAGGCCCAGGAGTCTCTCTATTTGGTGGTGCTGGTTGTTGAGGCAAGGGAGAGCAATTTGATTCGGAAAGCCAGCAGACCTGGTAGATGGTAGACCAGTGTCCCAAAGACACACATCATTCCCAAGTTAGAACTGAGGCTTCTCTTATTGGGAATCGCTATTTTTATAACAACCCCAGCTGATCCAATGAGCCAACAAGTGGGAACAAGTCCTGGCCGGACAGCCAAGAAGCCTGGGCTCTCGGCCTGGTCCCCTCTTTGGGCCCTGGGTGGCTGGCCCCTTCCCTCTCTGGGCCTCAGCTTCCTAGCCTGTAAAAGGAGAGGACCAGGCTAGAGTAGATGGTGCTCCGGCTTCCCTCCAGCTCTGATAGTCTGAGACTCTAACGAAACTTAACTTCGGCCTTGCCTTCCACCACCCCACAGCCAGCCCCCCGCATGAACCCACCTAGCGGCTCTGGAGACCCATCCACAGACCCTTATAAGTGAGTGGGCCTCTCCCGGGCTCCTCCATCCCCCGTCCCCCAGGCTGGGGTATGCCCCCTCCACTGTGTCCCCTCCCTCAGAGTGGAGCCCCAGGGAGAGGGAGCCGCCGACAACTGGCTCTTTTCCAGGGATCAGTCCTCCTCGCTCTGAAAGCGAGGCCCCCCGGGAGCCGAGCCGCCCGCTGCCCAGGCGGCCGTGGTAATGAAGTGTCCCTGGGCAGCCCTGGAGTTAGCCAAATGGTCATTAAATGTGATGAGGGGTTTGACGGTTAATGGTCACGGAAGGAATTAATGGCTCGTGGTGTGGGGGAGAGGGAGGGGTGGAGAGCGGCGGGCGCGGTGCTGGTAGGAGGAGAAAGGCAGGAGAAGGGAGGGGAGTGGACGGCTGGGTGGGATGGAACTGATGGGGCAGCGCTGGGGCAGAGGGCAGGGGAGGGGGCAAGGAAGAGATGGGGAGGCTGAGGAAGGAGGAGGAGATGAGGGAGAGGACAGAGCAGGAGGGAAAGCCCAGGGGAGCAAGCAGCGCATCCAAGAAGACTTCATCAGGCCTTTCACACCTGTTGTGAAAGGCAACAGCAGCCCTGTTCGGTAGGGACCACTGCCCCCATTTTATGGATGAGGAAACTGAGGTTCTAAAGACCAAGTAACTGGCTCAGGATCACCCAACAAGGAGGAGAGGAGGCGGTGTGTGAGTAAGGGGAGGAAGAGTCAGAGGATGAGAAGCACAGGGCCTAGAAAGAGCAGGAGGGGAGGCCGAGGCGAGGCTGGCCCGAGGCCTGGCCCACTCACAATGCGGTCTGGGGGTGGCGTACTCCCGATGAAACACTCCACCTTGCCACCGTCGCCCCTGACGGCATACTGCACAGCCTCGCTGGAGATGATGGGGGGCCCTGCAAGCAAGAGGACAGGGCCAGGGCCAGCTGGAACCTCCAGCAGCCCGCCCCCAGCACAGCCCCCACCACCGCCTTCATCAGGCCCCTCACCGTTCACGTAAAGCGGCACCTCCCGCTCAGCCACTCCGATCCGAGGCACAATGGCCCGGCAGGTGTAAGTGCCGGCATCGGCCTGGGTCACCGACTTCAGCAGCAGCTGGTTGCTGTTACTCAGGACCTGGGCAGAGAGAGCAGCCTCGGGTGGGGAGCCAGGAGGCCTGGGCCCCTAGATCCGTGTGGGCCCCCGCATTGGAGGCATTGGAAAGAAAGCAGGAAGGGCCACAAGTGAATTCCCAGAAGGGAAGCAGAGTCCCGAGTCTATCTGGTCCATCCCTTGACTCTAAATGGGTTAGCATTTAGACACAGCATCTCTGTAAGAGTGGGCAGACCTGGGTGGAGCTGCATGAGGGCAGGTGAAGCTGCTGTGATTTTTAAAAGAGGACGCAGCCACTGCTGGTGGCCTCTCCTAGTGCTTCCCTTGCCAAATGAGGAAGTTTCACTCTAAAATCCCTCTTTCTGCAACTCTGGCCCAAACTGTCCCATATCGGTCTCTGCAGAGCTGTAGAATTTAGCCTTCTCCCCTCTGGTGCACCACCCCAGCCACCCCACCCTGCTACGCAGCATTCACTGCCCAGGTCTCTCGCCACAGCAGCGGCTCCACTCCGGGCCCTTTCCCCCTCCCACCCACAGGTCACTGTCCCTCTCACTGCCACTGAAGCAGCCAGCTGTCTGCCAAGGAGGGGTGGGGTTTATTGCCAGCACCGTCCTTCTCTTCAAAATCCAGAGAACTTGGAAATATCCCAGGTTCAACTTGAAAAAGAATGCTGTGCCCCCTATGCCCCCTCTTCCCAACCTGTGGCCAGGCTCCTGCCACCCAGTGTCCAGGAGAGGCGGAGAGCTTCTTACCATGTTTGAGTCCTTTTTGGTCCAGGTCAGGGTGAGGGGGGGATTCCCAACCCAGACACAGGTGAGGGTCACATCAGAGCCAATGTCTGTGGTCGTGGGTTTAGGGTCAACTACAATCCGAGGGGCAACTGAGGTAGAAAGGGACAAACAGATCATCAGGGTCCTGATCTCATCAGGGCCGGGGGTGGGGGGTGGCAATTCCAGTCCTCCTCCTGCCTTGCCTCCTCTCATGTCTCCTCAGCCCCACAGAGCCTCCCCCAGCCCACTCCAGGTCCGTTAAAGCCCTTGCCCCTGCAGATACTCACAGTGGACATTGACTAATGTGCTGACATTGGTGCTCCCCACTTTGTTGTGAACCTCACAGGACACGGGCTCCGTGAAGAAGGAATAATCGACATTTGTTTCATAGCGACTCTCATGGGCATCTTCAATCAGGAAGCCCCCCTTGGCCCACCTGGAGGAGGCAGCACAGAGCAGGGTCAGGCCTTGGAGCCCTCTCCCCGACATCCCGACATCCCGTGGCCTGTCCTCCCCAGCACGCCCCCGGATCTCAAGGGCCTCCCAGTATCCCTCCCCTGGGGGTGCCCGCCCCCGCCCCGCCCCTCCTACCTGTAGCCCAGGATCTCCGGGTTGGCCGTGGCCTGACAGGTAAAAACGACGCGCTCGCCCTCCTGCACCGTCTGGGGCTCGATAGACAGGGTCACTGTAGGGGGGTCTGCAAGGCAGAGGACGGCAGTTTAGGGCCTTTTCTGTCCCTCACATTTCTTTTTCTCTCTCTAGCACATACACTGAGACCTCACCCGTGTGGTGATCTGGGAATTTGAGTTTGCAGTGTACCAGCTTCAGTAAATAAGCTTTCCTCACCTTTATTCCAGGAGCCTCCAGGGGCTGGCTAGGGTGAGGACGAAGGATGATACCAAAGGGACAAATCAGGCAGACCATGTAGTGACCAGCTGTGACCACTAGGCGTCAGTGTGGGTTCGCTAGGCTCACTAGCCGGGATGGGGGTGGGGCGCCTCTCCAGTTGCTGCCCACACTTGCACCCTTCCCTGGGCAGTGGGAATTTATTGAGCACTTACCCAGTAGCATACTCCATGTGAGATGCTCGTATACTATATCTCACTTAACACTCACAACCCTGAGAAGCAGGTACAGCCCATCACAATCCCTTATCTGAAACCCCCGGAATTAGATGTGTTTCAGAATTTGGAATTTTTCAAATGTTAGAAAGGTTATGGTGACCACAGACCATTTACTGTGCAAGACCCCCAGCAGAATCTGGGCAACATCCCATAGAAATACGCATTAATATATCTGCAGTGAAATGCACAGCTATTCCAGTTGAGTTATTAAATAAAAGACTACAAAGAGCTTCCGTTCAGGTTTTGCCACCCAATCACTTTTGGTGTGGAATTTCCGATAAGGAGCTGTAGGCCTGCATTTTATTTTCTGCACATATTTCAAAATTAGAAACTACGGCTCAGAGAGATTACGTCATTGCCCAAAGTCACACGGTTTAAACCCGGGAACTGCCTGGCTCACAGCTGATGCCTCTCGTGCCAGCTCTCAAAGCCTACGGTTCAAAGCAGGGAATCCAAGAGGACAAAGAAACGGCGCATCTGTCCCGGGGCCCCGGGGGATTCTTCTGTGCTTCCCAAGGGGTGCTGCCCCGCAGGGTGCACGTTGCCCACCCCCCACCCCCACCCCGGGACCCTGCTCACGGTGCACATCGAGCTCAATGGACGTCTCCTTGCCACTCGGGATGGCCTCGTTCACACTGCGGCAGGTGAAGACACGCCCAATGTCCAGGTCTGTAGGGTTGATGAGCAGCTGGCTAATGGTGGTCTCCCTCTTCCCATCCTTCAGTAGTTCCTGGGGTGGGAGGGTGAGGTGGGGAATAAGGGTGGGAGACACGGTCAAGCTAAAAGCCCCTTCCTCTGCTCTTGGTGTGATCCTCCAGAGCTAGGCTTGCTGGAGGGGCATTTAACCTGAAGCTCTGCCCTTCCCCTAGCCCCTAACTCCTCCCCAGGTTTAGGTTTTTTTTTTTAAAACTAATAGACTTTATTTTTTAAGAGAAGTTTTAATTTTACAGAAAAATTGAATAGAAAATACAGAGAGTTCCCATATATCCTCCTCCCCAGCCCCAGTTTCCTCTATTGTTAACAGGATGCACTAGTGTGATCCATGTTACACCTGATACATAAGACAAGTGATGCACCAACATTGATACCCTATTACTAACCGAGGCCACAGTTTACATTAGAATTCACTCCGTGTTCTACAGTTTTCTCCATCCTTTTAAGTCTCGTTCCTGGAATTCCCTGAGTCCAACCCAAGCCCGTCCTTCTCTGGAAAGTCTTCCTTTGCTCATCCCAGCTCTCAGGACTCTCTCGCAGACTGAACCTGTGGCCGTCACAGGCGGTCTGTCCTCCACACTGCTCTGGTCACATCGCCTTGCCTCTTAGGCAGCGTGCCTATGTTTCAGGGCTGGGCCTCTCTTGCTAGACCATAAACTCCTTGAGGGCAGGGAAGGGACTCACTGGCTCAAAGTCTCACAATGGTACCCAACCAGACATGATCACAGCACCCTTGGGCTGTTTTCCAAGGCTGTTTGCACACTGCCTAGGGGAAACCATAATATTAGGCCAAGTGGGGGCCCACGGTTTGACAGCAGTACAAGCATCTTACTAGGCCTGATGCGGTGCTGGAGCAGTACCAGTCCAGTGCAGTAACACTGGCTTCCTCCTGCTGCTTCAAAGCTCCATTGTCTTCAATAAATATAAATATAAAAATAAATAAATATAAAAAAAAGGAAGGGGCCATTGACCAACTGGCTTGTTTGGTTGCCAAAATATTTCAAAACATGTAACCACAGAGGGGAAAAGTGACAGGGCTCTTGGTGGTGAGAAAGTTAAGCACCACCGAAGCCAAACTGTTTGTCACATGGTGAAATGAAGGCCAGAGAGACGTGAATTGTCCAAGGTGACACAGAGTATCGAGGGCAGAGCAAACCCAGGCATTCCCTGTGGCCATACACCAGTGCGCACAGGTGAAAGGTCTCTCCCCTCAATGAGAAGTGTCTCCTGCAGCATCTAGCAAGGGGGGCTGGGTACACCTGTGCCTGTCCACAGCTGGCAAGAGGAGCTCCAAATAGGACACCTGGATTCTAACTCCAGCTCCACCTCAACTTTGCCACATGATCCTGGGCAAGTCATTTGATGTCCTTTCTGGCAATAGGTTGCTGCTGCTGCTGCTGCTAAGTCACTTCAGTCATGTCCAACTCTGTGTGACCCCATAGACGGCAGCCCACCAGGCTCCGCCACCCCTGGGATTCTCCAGGCAAGAATGCTGGAGTGGGTTGCCATTTCCTTCTCCAATGCATGAAAGTGAAAAGTGAAAGTGCAGTCGCTCAGTTGTGTCTGACTCTTCGCGACCCCATGGACTGCAGCCCACTAAGCTCCTCTGCCCATGGGATTTTCCAGGCAAGAGTCCTGGAGTGGGTTGCCATTGCCTTCTCCCGGCAATAGGTTACTCATCTATAAAATGTCCACATAATCACTGCTTACCCAAGCTCTTAGTTGTGATGACTGGGAACATGCACCAGCTAGAGGCTGGGGGAAGAAAGTTGACAGGCTCGATAGCAAGAGACTACATTCTGATCCAGGTATAAACCCTAGCTCTGTTGCATGTCAGCTGTGTGTGACCCTGGGCAAGTCACTCAACCTCTCTAAACATCAGTTCACTCTTTTTGAGTTGGAAGTAACAGCTAATTTATGAAACTCCTGTGAGGATTAAGAGAGATTGTCCATAGAGCTTAGCATGCACAGTGCCTGCTACACTGTAGGTGCTTAATGAATGAGGCTATTCTCATTATTATTCTTATTCTCTGCTAACTACTGAATGGCCCTGAGAATTCTCGTCTGGACCTCAATTTGCCCAACTATTTAATGAGAGGATTGGACCACATGACTTCTAACGCCCCTTTCCACATCTGTGTCCCCCCGTCTGTGGTCAGATCCATGTAGGAAAGGAAAGGTGGCCTAGAGGGTGGCCTTAGAGCTCGGGAGCATCAGAGTCTCACCGTGCTGGCTACAGCACCCTCTTGCTGCGTCCCGTCCCGGAACCAGATGATGGTGGCGGCAGGCTTGGCGTTGAAGGCGCGGCATGTGAGGTTGTGGGGGGTGCCTGCCTGCAGCAGGATCACAGGACCGCCATCAATCCTGGTGTCCTCTGGGGGGACTATGGGGAAGAGCAGAGCAGAGTCAGTCCAGGATGTGGCCAACAGTGCCCTGATGACCGAAGCCCCTGCCCCTGGAGGCATCTCTCCTACCGCATATCCACCCTTTGCTGGGGCAGTGCCATCCTTACCCCCTAACTTACGATCACTGAATCTGCTGCTCCTGTGGTCTGGGGGACCTGGCACAGAAAGGAGGCTACCTCCAACATAGCTTCTTACATCCATTCCCTCCTGTCTGCTCCTCCGCCCTGGAGCAGCTGGATGAGTGGGTCTATCACAGCAACCTCCCAAATGGACTCCCTGCCTCCAGCCCCTGCTGGCCTCAACCCATCCATCATGGCTGGCAGGTTACCTTCTCTACAGATCTGCCAAGTCTGTACCACTTCCCTGTTCAACCACCTTCCACGTCTACCAGCTGCCACAGGCACGAGTTGCAAGTCTCTCAACCTGCGACCAGTGTTCCCCAGGTCAAGTCCTGCACTTCCCCACCTCCTCTTGTTTCTGCTCCCTTCCCTCACGGCTTCTCTTGAGCTGCTGTCCATCCTCTTCACACCCCAGCTGCTGCACCGGTCTTCCGTGCCAAATCCCCTTCAACCGCCACCTCTGTGCTTCCCAGCCAGTCACTCAAAGCTCTGAGCATCATCTATCAGTAGCTTGTCTTTGGGTTACTTATGAGGGTTATCCATGTCCCCTCCCCAACAAAACCATTATCCCTGGAAAAGCAGGAACTCCATCACATTAATATTTATATAGTCTCCGGTGCCTAGAACATGACCAAAGCAGGCTCTGGCTAAATGCTTAAGGAATCGAATCAGTCAGATGTCTGAAATATTAATAGGAAATAGTTCCCTGTCCTGTACCCACAGGCTTCGAAACACTCAGGTGAACCAGACTGCAAGTTCCCTGGGAGCAGGGGCTCCTTCTTTTTTCTCTTAAAGCCCTAAGATCTAGTGCAGAGGCTGGTTGATAACTCATCCTTGGGGCTATTAGCAAAATAAGTGGTTGATGATATAAAGACGGAAGGGTTTTGATTATAATTTTGATATCTGGTCTACCTCATGTTCATCAGCCAGCAATGTGAAAGGGTTTCCTTTGCTTTTTTGCCGGGAAGACCAGAGAAATGCAGAAGGGGCTTTCCAAGGGAGCCCTGGAGAGGAGACCCTGGGACGCCCACGGGGCCAGGCGTGGGCAGGGCTGTCCTGGAGTTTATGAGATGATGGTCTCCATTTTCGGGGTTTCTGGGGAGAGGCACCTCTGCAGCACATCCCAGTACTTTGCTCAGCTGGTGCACGCAGAGTGGGAGGGTTGGGGCCAGCAAGGACATAGAAGCAGGCTGCCCTGGTTTCAAGTCCCGGCTCCTGTATTCATCTGTCAAATGACCTCGGGTGAGGCTGCCAAGTCAGTTTCTTCAACAGGGGCATACGATGCCCATTCGCAGGGTCCTCGTGCAGGCTGGATGAGGGCGGAAGAGGGGCCATCACGTGCGACACGCGCACTGTGTTTACATTAGTGCCCAGACAAGAGCCATCAGTGCCTCCAGCTCCTGGCTGGCCCGTGATCTGCTTGATGCATCACGGGCTCCTCCTCTTTGCCCACTAGTGCACATGGTTCCAGGGCCAGATGGATGCAGATTGGCACATGGAGTGAGAAGGAGAGAAAGGTGCAGAGAAATGGAGCTGCCACTCAGGCTGTCTTGGTCTGTGTGGGGCCCCTCCGAGGTCACACAGCGCTATCATACCCCAGGAGGACAGTCCTAGTTGGGCAGAAGAGGGGGAAGCTTCTTCTCCCATCAGCTTTCCCTTCCCTTGTAACATTGGTCCTCACCGTTTACTTAGGGAAAGACAGCCCACCTGCCACCTTTGTCGCTAGCCCACCTTAGTACCTGGGGAGAAGTAAATATGGCCGTTGAGGTGTCTGCTAAGCTTAGTTGGACGGCATGTGTCCCGATGGTTCTTTTTTTTCATCTGGCTGTTGTTGTTCAGTCTCTGTCATGTCCGACTCTTTGTGGCCCCATGGACTGTAGCACAGCAGGCCCCCCTGTCCTTCACTATCTCCCGCAGTTTGCTCAGATTCCTGTCCATTGACTTGGTGATGCCATTCAGCTATCTGATCCTCTACCACCCCCTTCTCCTTTTGCCTTCAGTCTTTTCCAGTGAGTCAGGTCTTAGCTGTGGCATGCAGGATCTAGTTCCCTGACCAGGGATAGGACCCAGGCCCTCTGCATTGGGAGTTTGGAGTCTTAACCACTGAACCACCAGGGACGTCCGTATGAGTGTGTTTATGAGCACATTTTTAGGATTTGAAACTTTAATTTGTGTATCAATATTTACGTGTCTGAGGCCTCAGTTTCCTTGTTTGTAAAATTTCAAAAAGCACATTGCCATCTGTTCCCCAGAGTTCCTACTGGGAGAATGAAAGGAGATCAAGGGTGTGAAACCGACTGTAAGCTGTAACATGATCAGAGCATCTCCACCACTCACTGACCGCTCACCAGGTGTCAGCTCAAGCGCCTCGTGCATAGGATTTCATTTCATCCTCACCACAGAGTATATTTCATTAATCCTTTCGTGGTAAATACCACTGACTGCCCCCCACCCCCCGTTTACAGACAAGGCACTGAAGCTCAGACAGGCCAGGCCAGTGTGCTCAGAGACAGGAGGCTGAGCTCATCGGCGGGGCTGGGATGAGGACTAGGCCTGCCGACCCAGAGCTATGCTCATCACCACTGCACTCGAGGTTATTGCCGTGAATGATGACGGAGCTGTGGGTCTGTAGATCTATATTATGTCTGTGTCTGTCTGCGAGGGAGTGGGAGGCAGCTGCTCAGAGTTCTGCAAGGCCATTCTGTGGCCTGGGCTGGTCTGGGGTCGAGGGTAGACCACCGAGGGGTATAGCTGCGAGAGGGGGGAGGTGATGAGGCTGACCATGTGCAGGGAGGCCGATTCCACACACTGAACACAGCACACTCTCCACTCGGTCCTGCCTTGACTCTGAGCCCTGAATGAACAAAAGCTGTGTACAGGCAGGTGAGCAGAGGAGGGTGCACAAACTGTCCTGCCTTCTCACTGCCTCCACGTGGCTGCAGGAGGCAGGGGGTGTGAGAGATCCAGAGAGACGAGGAGGGGACAGAATGAGGGGAAAGGAGTAGACAGATTCATCTTCCATCTCTTTTACCCTTGGGGCCTGCTCCTGCTCCCCTCATCTACCTGAAACACCCAGATAGGCTACAGAGATCCACATCCTCAACACCCTCCAAATAAGCCAGCCAGCTTGAAGCTCATGTAGACCTCCTCATTGACTTGAAAGCTTTTTAAACAAGATACTTCTCTACCAAGGGTTCCCATTGATATTCTCCTCTGCCAGGAAGACTTCCTTGATTGAACCAAGTTGCAGGATGTCATTACTAAGTTCTGTTATATCTAGGGTCTTGGCTGGCCTTTATCCATCTTTCTCTATTTCTCCATCTCTATGCCGGGGCAGGAGGGGGAAGGAACAATTTCAGGACCCCCTCATTCAAATGGCAGTCTCCAGTCTGGAAGCAGCACCTTCCAGGACTTAAGCTGAGGCAGTTAGAGAGGCAAAAAGAAGAGATAAGGTCTCCTAAGTATCTCCTGTTCCCTTGGACTGCCTGGTCCAGCATGGGAGCTAATACACTCCCCAGTGAGGAGGGGAAGTTGATCCTTAGCACTCCATGCCTACCCCTGGTGGTCAGCTAACTCCTGCTCCCTAACCTCCATCCTGCTCCATGCTAATTATCCTCATGTGTCTTCACCAGAGAGGAAAAGTGAGTCATCTACCAGCCTGGAGTCCTAGTGCTTCAGGGCCTTTACATCCAGAGAAACAGACTGCCGGGTCCCTCTGGTGCTCACTTATTCTGACACCTCACATCTGCCCAGACCTTCACAGTTTACAAGTCCCCACTCAGGGAGCAGCAAAGCAGCAGTTGCTAAGAAAAGGCCGGCATCATTATGCCATGTTACTGATGAGAAAACAGATGACCAGAGGTCATGACCTCTTCAGGGTCACGGGGCCAAAATGGCCTGGGCCTCCTGACTCCCAGTCCAGGCCTTGCCCTGCCACGCCCAGATGGCTTGTCATGTCCTCACCCTTCTCCCCCAGGTAAGAATCTTCCTTGTGTCCAGACTCACTTAGCTCAGCTCCCCGCTCCTTCCTCCCACCCCTCCTGGGGGGATCCCGCACACTTCAACGATTTCGGGGTTGGGGAGAGACAAGAGAGGGGGCAGGACAGATCAGATGGGAGCAGCAAGAGAAAGGGAAGGAGCAGATGACAAAAGGGAAGGAAGAAGGTCACAGGCGGACAGAGCCAAGCCGGAGACAGGGGAGCAGAGGCCCAGGCAGAGCACCAGAGTATGAGGGAGACAGAAAGAGGGATGGAGCTGGAGGTGCTGCCAGGGAAGGGGTGGGGGGTGAGGGCGTGTCAGAGCTGGCCTCATTCCGGTGCTGGGTCCTGCCTTCGTGCAGGAGAGGATCCCCTCATTATGCAAATGGCCCCGGGTGTTACCATAGAGGGACATCTGCTCTGTGCCCTGTGGGCGGCAGCCAGCACGGCTTCTTCAGAGACAAGTCCTCCTCCGGCTGCAGCTCCTGCAGACTCAGCCAGGACCCCTGCCCCACCCCCTCCCAGTTTCTCAGCCCTCAAGGCCCGATCCCTCCAGTTCTGCCCCCCTGTTCCCAGAGGAGGCCAGGAGGTGAAATGGAGAAGGTGGGGTGAGTGCTGAGGCGGGAACAGAGAGAAGGAGAGAGGGGCTGAGCGGAGGGGAAAGAGCGAAGGGAGCCCTTTCTGGGGTAGCTGCGAGGGAGCGGAAGGGAGAGGCTTCCAACAAGCCCTCTGCCAGGAGAGGCTCTCCATTGCCCCGCCAGACCCCCACTCTGGTGGGGGCAGTTTATGTTCTGAAGGCGGAGCCTGGGCACAGGCTGGGCAGTGAGGATGCCAGAGAATGGGTGCCCACGTGCCCATTTTTTTTCTCTTCTATCTGAACTTGGCTTTGGAAGGAGTTTAAAGGATTGGGGGAGGGAAAGCGAGGGAGATAGTGGGGATAGTACCTGAGGCCAGGATCAGAGACAGACAAGCTGGGAAATGCAAGAGGACGTTGGGGAGGCGGGGGACAGCCAGGACACCAAGAGAAAGAGACAGGAGGAGGTGGTGGGGTGGCGAGGGTGGGGTGGGGTGCATGCAGGATGTTGGGGGTTATTACTGAGCACGGTGAGTTTCGCTCGTCGGGAGCGCAGGGCGGCCTCCGTGGCCTGGCACTCGTAAGAGGCATCGTCAGAAAGCTCAGCGTCTGTGATCTCCAGGTTGTACTGCCCGGCCTCCGCAGAGCCCACGACGCGGTACCGTGGCCAGGCTGCAGGAAGAGAAAGGGCTAGCCCAGGTGAGCTCAGCCCCAACCTGGGGCTCGCCTGGACCGCCCTGCCCACAAGGGCACATCCTCTCCCCACATCAGGGCCCAGGGGTCCCATTGGGAGCCAGCACCCTCCACCCTCTCCTGGGACCCAGGGGGCCCTCGATGTGGATGAGGTCCCCGTGCAGACACTGCGATGTCACAGCCTCCTCCGCTGAGGCGGGGAGCCACAAAGCAGAACGAGATGGGGGAGAGCAGAAGGGGGAGCTGAGCAGGAGCAGATGAAATCTCTGAAGCTGTTTGCAGACAAATGTCTCTCATAATAATAGGAAAGAAAAGGCAAAAAAAAAAAAAAAGAAGAAAAAGGCAGACAGCAGGGAGAAAAGGAGAGGAAGAGGGGAGGGTGTGTGGGCGCTAGGAAATATAGGCCATTGCAGCTCAGACATGAGCTCACTGGGGCCAAAGGGAAGCCCAAGGCGGGCAAAGGTCTCGCCCTCACTCACCAAGGGAGGGATGCTAGAAGTAGGGTCCTGCCCGCTCCCCCAGGAGCCCCTCACCTGCAGGAGCCTCCCGCGGCTGTGGCAGGTGCACCTCTGTGCTTCTCCGATCCAGCCTTTTCCCTCCTGCCTCCAGGCTGCGGTCCACCCCTCACATTCTGTCCGCTCTTGTGGTCCCTACCCTCAGCTCCCTCCCACTGCCCACTGCCTCCCACTGTTCAGAGGCTATGATTCTTCTCACTCCATATCTATTGATCTCTCTCTCTCTCCCAGTTTCTTTCTCCTTCCATCATCAATAGATCCGCCAGCCTCTCTCCTTCCTTCATAGAGATTGCTCCATACAGACAAATTTCTCCTACCTGCTCTAATGCACGGAACCTGCAGCAAATAGTCTGAAGCCCTGGATAACAATAAGAAGAAAAATACACAATCCCTCCCATGCTTTTACCATTACAGTGCTTGACAGCGAGCAGTGTGTTTTCACATAGTCTCTCGTCTGGTTCAAAACTCACAAACAGCTTTATAAAGCTGGCAGACCTACAGCTACCATGCCTATTTTACACTGTGATAAACTAAGGCCCGGAGAGGTGAAGTGGCTTTCCTGAGGTCACCTAGCTGGAAGGCAGCAGAGACGGGTTCTGACTCCCCATCCACTCTGCCAGGCGGCCTTTCCAGAAGTACCTTTACTTGCTTTGGAATAAAGGAGGGCTCCCCCGTCCCCACCTTGGCACATTATGTTTGTTTCTGAAGCGGCTCCATGGTGCTGGTTAAATGAATAAATAAGTGCTTAGGCTGAAATGAAAATGAATCTGTGGCCACAGAACAGACACTGCCTGGGCAGGGGGCGAGAGAGGCTGGAGCAAAGCCAAGCAGGCAGGAGACACTTGCAGGACATAGAAGCTGCTGCGTCCTCCCTCGGCCCTTGCAGGGGGCTCTGGAGCCTCCCAGCCCCTCCTGCTTGGCCCGGCTGCCTGCGGCTCCTCTAACGGTGGCCGTCTGTCTAAAGCTGTCCTATGTAAAGGTCTTTTGGTCTCCCTTGATTCCTTGGGCTTCCCGTTGGCCCTCTGTGAGCCAGTCTGCAACCCAGGAGGAAAGAGCTGTGGAGTTTGGACAGCAGTAGAGAGAGATCTCGGGACAGGGAGACAGACCGACTCACACAGAAGTGGGAGAGGGCAGGCTAGAGCCCAGAGACGGAACGTGGTGGGAACGAAAGGATGCTGAGTCCAGTCCTCTTCGTTGGTGGGGGAGGGAGGCCACGATGGGGCTGTCTGGGCGCTGGGCTGCCCGCGCGGCCCCACTCACCTTTGAGGCCCTGGCCCATGCCCAGCGCAAGCCCATCCTTGGTCCACTGCACGATCCCCGAGTAGTTGAGTAGGACGCAGGGGAGCACGGCCCGCTGTCCAGCCACCACAGTCTGGTCGGCTGGCTCCTGGCTGAAGCGGGTCTGGGTCCCTGTCAAAGCCAAAGTTGGCACAGGGTCAGATGAGTGAGGAGGGGCTGCACCAGGAGGCCGTGCCTCCCAAGCTTCCGCCCCCACCCCACGGCGACCCGAGAGAGATTAAGAGCCGCAGGCCAGGACGGCGGACCCTCTGGTCCCCGCCCCACGTCAGCCCCAAACCCTTCCCTCCAAGAAGCCATGTGCTTGCCCTTGATTCTTCCTTCCCTCTGTGGCCCATGGGACTGGCTTTCAGGAGCTGAGGCGCTCAGCAAGCATAGCAAGTGGTGCAGTGTTATGTAAAGGCCTCAGAGACCAGGCTAGTCCAAACCTCTCCTTGTTCAGACGAGGACCCGAAGGAGGAGAGAGTCACTTTCCCAAGGGCACCCGGCGCGTTCAGGACAGAGCAGGACGCAAACCTGAGCCAGAGCATTTCAGGTCCTGGGCTCCACCTCAACCACCTGGACCAGGGCTCCCCCGTCCCCACACCCAGGTCACCTGGTGACGAATCCACAACACATGCCGCTGGTGATGCCACGGTTGCTCTCAACCCCTGAGAGGTGAATATCCTACCATACCCCCGCTTGGACGTGTGTCCATGAGCCAATGTAAGGCGACTCACATGTGTAACTACGCCAGGGGCAAGTTGGATGCACCCAACGAGCACATAACATCATGTGCTGTGGGACAGTCACGTCCCCCTGTGTGTGTATAAATACACTTCCTGGGTGGCTGGTGGCGGATCCCAAAGTAGCTCTGAAACCACTTCCTGTACACTTTTCTGGTCCCCTATGTTCACCCCGTTGCCCCCGAGCCCTGGAGGCATGAGTGCTTACACAGGATGGACACACCAGCACACGCCCAGCCTCCCGCCCCGTGGGAGCTGACAGGGCCACGTGACTTTGTTCCTCGTGATTTTGTTCCACTCTCCCTCTGGCTGCCGGAGCTACACATGGCTGCCCGGCTGGCAGCTCGGCCGGGAGCATTTGATTAGAGAACTGCAGAGTAATTGCCTTTAATTGTGGAGCCTAAATGGAGCAGGGAATTGGATTTCGGGTTTCTTCGCCCCTGCCACCCACTGCTCCCACCCACCCACTCCAGCCACCGCTGGTTGGCCCAGTGGTGGGCAGTCCTGGGCACTGTGCTGTGACTGTCAGCTTCCTGCGCTGGGCCCCAGGAGACAGAAGGGCTGCGGGACAGCCCAGGGAGAGGTCTGGGGCTTCCCACGCGTGTCCCCAATCTGTCACACTCGGTAACCCAAATCAGTTTTCCCCCGGAACTCTGGGGACTCCTCCCTGTTCTTTCCCTCCCCAGCTTCCAAGTCTTTTAGAGACGACAATACCCAGGTCCAACTCTTTCCTAACTCAGCTTTCCAAAATCTCTCTGATCCTCCATCACTCCTATGAACAAGCAAAACAACGGTCCCCCGCCCATTCCAAGACCTCCCTCTTATTCACCAGGAACAGGACTCTCATCTTCTCATCCCTCCCTTCTTCTTCTTCTTCCTCCAGCACCATTTCTCACCTTTCCAAAACTGCCTCACCTTCCCGCCTCTTCCAGGAAGTCCTCCTGGATTTATCTTTTAGTTCCCTGGGCAAACACAGCTTGTCCTACCTTTCGGTCCTGCTGTCACAGCTCTATCCATGAAATTTCCTCTCCCAAGCTCTCAGAGTCTGTGTCCATGTTTTGTTTGGGGGTAGAGGGCAGCTGCGGGTGGCAGTCTTTGCACTACCTGTTCCATTAGAATGGGAACCTCTCCACAAGCCCAAAGCCCAGGCTGTCTCTTCTCTCTGAATCTCCCTGGACATTTGACATCCACATTGGTTGTTGCATATCAAGGAGAAAGGGGCAGAGCAAGGGTGGACTGATGGCCAGCATATGATTTACTACGACCAGGTAGCCTCTCTTAGTTAAGTGTGTAAACCCAGTTTTTTGGGTCTGCAGGGTGTCAGGAAGTTAGAAGCAGCAGCTCCCCAACTCTCCTGATCTGACATCCCATCTTTGTCTTCTAAGGGGAAAGGAAAAGGCTCACCCATATTTCCTGGGATTAGGGTGGCAGGTGCTGAGATCCTGGGGGAGAGGTGGGTCAGGTGAGCAGCTGGTATTATTAATTCAGGCATTGCCCTCATTATTATTCAAATTTATTCATATCATTGCGCATTTCTCTAGAGCAGCTACAGGCTGCAAATTCTCCACACTCACGTTTCTCCTTCCCATGGCCCCCGGAGCCCAAGTCAAGGGCTTGCGAGTAGAGTGGCCTGTGCACCCTAGCTCAGAGATGGAATTTATATTCACAGCTTTCCTGCAAGGGGCCTGGACACCCTGGTCTCCTGTTGAAGTCTCCTGAGGACAGTGAGAAGCTGGTTTCTTGTCCACTGGGAGGTCAAGGAGGCAGCAGGATTTGAGGCGAGAGGCCCTGGGGGTACGAGTCAGAGATGGGTGGGCGTCTCGCCAGAGGGAGTGGTGTGACCTTGGCCTTGTCACTGCCCCTTCCCGGCTCCTCCATGTGCTCACCTATACAATGACAAGTCTGGGCCAAAGACTGCAAAGTCCCTCTGAAGAGTAGAGGTTTAGGAAACACTGAGGTTTGCCTAGTACCTCTGCCACACACTTCCTACCAGTGTGACTGTGGCCAAGTTATTCTGAGCCTCGTTCTCTTTACTGGTAAACTGGGGTACGATGACACCTACCTCGGACTGCTGGAGAGTTCAATGGGAAGAGGTGGATGATTTGCCTGGTACATTCCCTGGCATGTGCTCTCTGAGTGGTAGCTATGAGCTTATTTATCCTGGGCAGTTAGATAATCAGAGGGACGGATGGAAACCTGAGCAGTGACATGACAAAGACGATATCTGTCATTCTGGGGTTTTTTAAATACAGTTCCCTCTTGGCGTATGCTTGGTTGGAGCAATTTAGTCTGGAGACAGGGGGATGGAAGCAATGACTCCCATGAGAGATCAGAGAGGAGGAGAAACAAAGGGTCTCAGGAATTTAACTCAATGGAAAGGTCCTGTAGATCCTGAGCCTGCAAAAGTGACAGGAAACGTTTGCTGACCCCCAAACAGCCTCTGCAGCCAAGACAGTATCTAAGCTACACTCCAGATGCCCGTGGGTTGTCCTGACCTGGATCAGGATTAGGAGGAAGCCCTAAGCCTGCCGCGCCATGGCCAAGGACCACTCACTCTTCTTTGCACACTCCAGGCTTCTGTCCTTGTCTCCAGGTCCTTATACAGGCCTTTCCTGGGCAGAACACTGCTCCCTCCCCTTCCCTCAGAATTCAAATAATCACCTCCCCTGTGAAGTCCTCCCTGCTTGCCTTGCATGGCCCCAGAGCCCTCTGTACTCACTTCCCACCTCTGCTAGTGGGTGAGGCCATGCTGCACTACCCACCCCTCCCTGTCTGGGGAGAACTCCTTGCGTCTGGACTGTGTCACTCAGAGCGTCAGCCCCATCACCCAGCACAGGGCCTGACTGCCAGGCACACAAAGGTGTTGTGAATAAGTCCGTTGATTGATGGAGTGAGAATGAGCAAATGCCTGAATAAACAGTGCTGCCTGCGCAACCCCATCAGGGAAGGAGGCAGATGCCCCGTTCTCCTGGTCAGGCTCACGGACTGCGGCAAAGGACAGGGTTCTCCCTGCAGGCAGAGGAGTAAGAGTGCCGGGGACAGGCCTGGGGGCTCCCTGAAGCAGGGAATGTGGAGCAGAGGGGAACAGAACTCTGGAAGGTTCTGGTGCAATGATGGGGGTGAGTGAAGAGGGGATATGGGGACTGCTGAGAAAAAAAGCCAAGAAAGTGAGCAGAGAGATATAGGCATCAGACAGGCACAATAGGAAGGACAGAAGTCACTTTACAACCGAAAAGGAGGTACTGGATATATGTCAAGAAGGCACCAAGAACTGGTACCAGCGGCCTCACAAGCATGCACACAAATCAGAGAACACACACGTGCCTCGGAAGTCCTGGCGGCCTGGGTCTCCCACCGGCTGGGACATATGTGACACAGGACGGAGTCTGCACTGGGACTGGGAGTGGGTGTGGGGGTGAAATGTCAGCCCCATCCCCACATCTACACGCTACTTCCAGGAAATACTAAAAATGCAGGGGAATGGTTTGATGTGGGATGGGGAGCCAGGTGGGAGGGGAATCAAGAAGGGCCTGAACACAAACAGAAGGCTGACGACAGACCAGCCTCGGAAGCAAAAGCAGTGCCATCGAATAAGCAGCCTCTCCTGCCTGGCAGCTCCAGTCTGGGGCAACTGCAAAGCCCCACGTGTGTGTCTAAGTGAATTCCCTTCTGCTTTCGGCCTGCTGCTTCCCCGTCTTCAGCCACTGGCAGATGTTGGTGAGCTCTCAAGCAGCCATTGTGAAGGCAGGCAGAGGAGAAGTGTGCTGCTGCATGGAAGCTCACACTTACAGTCCAACAGGGACCCCGGGAAGCAGAGACAAAGACAGACACCCGCCTGGCAGAGGGAGAGAGAAGGGAGAAGAGAGGAGAAGCGGGAAGGCAAGAGGAAGAGGAGATCTTGGTTGGAAAGTGCCCAGGAAAAAAGAAGACATGGGCCCAGGGCAGAGACACAGAGAGTTAAGCACCAGCAAAGCTCCAGTGATACAAAGACCCAGGGAGCCACAGAAACCCAGGCCAAGGCAGGAGAGCAGGCGGGCTGAGGACGCAGAGAAAGACAAGGACAGCGGGACGGGGAGGTGATGGTGAGTGTGGTCACAGGGGGCCAGGGCTCATCTCCAGACTGGTTCCGTCCTTTAGGCAGGAACCAGGAGGCTGGGGCATCTCAGACTCCAGTGCCCCCTCCTCAGTATTGTCACTAGAACAGGAGATTCCAAGGAGGCTCAGGCAGGGACTGCAGGCAGGTGAAGAGCGGAACAGTGTGCGGAGGGCAAGGGGAGCACAGAGGGACCTTGGAAGAAATGAGAAGAGCAAAACAGGGGTGCCATAGGACAGAGGCCTCGGGCTCCTCCCTGATTTCCCCCCAGCCCTCCTTCCTTCTGAGTTAACCCT